CCGGAAACAACGACGTGGACACTTACCTTGGCACCAGTGTTCGGACGAGAAAGCGAGCGAGCCTTCGGAACATCCGGAGCTTTTCGGTACAACATGGATTTACCTCCCAAACAACGACCCCCCTCTTCCAGGTTGGAACATCGATTCGTTTTGACGGAAATGGGCCAGGGGGGTCTCCCGAATTGAAGAATCCGAGCACGTTTTTAAAGAGAACTTGATGGTGAGGATCGAAACTTCCACATTTCATCATATTTCATCTACAGCTTTTCTAGTAGGTTGGAGGCCATCGCTAGTAGGTTCCTGTTGCTAGTATATCGGGCCTCTACTCATCGTCGCTCCTCCATGTCGATTCACATTGATTCACAGAGCAAGGTCGGTGAACGACTCTGCCTTTTCCAGTAGTCTTCCACCCAATACTGCCCACTACCTCGCTGGTGTGCCCTGGCCACGACTTCGCCAAGGAACACCAGCGCTACAGCACTGAGAACTGCAAGCACACGGACATAGATGCTGCTCTCCTGCAGAATCCAAGCGATCCCTACACTACTCGCGCAACGGCCGGCTCATGCGATGGCCGGCTTGATCCAACACCATCGACGATCGAAGTCCATGGACGTCCATGGCCTGCCGCCTGCACTTCGCCTTCCTGTCGCCCGCAGGCGAACGTCACGCCGCCGACGTACTCTCCTGCACCACCACGGTCAAAGAGCCTGAAGCTGCCCACGAGTGGGCGAAAAAGCTTCTCCACCCTGTCGATGTGTGCTGGGTTGAGAGAACTAGACCTTTCTCAACATTCGCAGCATTCTTGCGATCATGTTTGATAAATCTCTCAAATGTAAGGGTGTCCCAAGTACCAAGTGTGGAAGAAAGAAAGAGGTCTCACACGACCAGTGGGCGCTCCACTGCCACTGAAGTGGGCAGTTCCAACCTTCGGCTGAACCAACCGACCAAAGAACCGAAGGAGCGCCGCGGTGCCACAGCCGCGCGGTGCCGCGCCAAGGAACAAAGGGCTCCACCGGCACATGGTCTTTGTCTGGGATCCTCCACATCTGATGGGGCCACCACTTCGAAGATGGCCTGCGTTTCACACGTTTCGCACGCACCGTGACAATGGAATTCATGACGACATGGTGCGAGGGGGGTCATCAGACACCTCGAGAGTGGACACCTGTCAGTGGAGACCAAGCGGCTGCCGCTTTGGCCGGTTTTTCTGGGTGAGTTGGTCACCGAATTGCTGGAGGCCGAGGGCTATAGTCGGTTCCAGGCCGCCTCATTCGATCCAAAGGACCCTGAGGAACGGCGACGGCTTGCCGCGCCGCGCGGCGACGGCCAGCGCTGCTTGCCGTTGGGTGTGGGGTTCAAGACACTCATGAAGACTAGTTGTTCTATCTTGTTCTCTTTAAGAATCACTTTAGAGCGGTAAATCTCACTAACTGTCTTCTAAATTAAAGTTCTATCTTTACGAATCTACTAACCAGTTGAGCGGTAAATCTCACTCTAGAGTCCATCTACATGATGTCCAAACCCTGCGAAAGCCTGGCCACTTCTGGGAACCTTCTTGGGTCAAAATCTTTCGGGTCTAGGTTATAGTTTGGCACCGCACCGAGGGTTCAGGAACTTGCAGTTTCCAGAGTCTTTGGCATGATCGTTATAGACAAAGCTTTTGCGGAAGACATCATGTTCAAAGCAGTCCGGAGTTCTAAGTAAAACATATTCTACTAGTGCCCTGTGCCACCTCCAGTCTACATGATGCCAATACTGGTTCTTTGATGTTCTTCATGGCATCTACAATAGTTTCACAAGCCTCCTGCACAAGTGGAGTGTGGTGGCGAGGATCAGTTGCTGCATTGCCTTGTCCTCCGTCTCCACCATAATGTCATCTAATGTCCACGAGGCACACACACACAGAGTTCCATTTGTCAAGTAGGTAGATGGGAATCAGTCAGGCACGGTCACATCGACATGAGGACCCCTCGACTTCTGCCAAGCATGAAACCACCACGCGCCGTATGTCGAGATCAATGTCTCCGCCTCCTCCGACTGTCGAGTCACCGTCATGGACGTGGGATGTGCCACTTGAAGTACCTGCTCCTGAAGGTGTTAAGACACACCATGGCCGTGCGTTTGGTGGGTGGGTATGAGGGTAGCTTCTACTGCTTTGATGGGCACAACAGCTTTGGGAGATGTGGTTCCTAGATGTGGTAGCTTATTGTTTCTTATAGCTTCTTGTAGGCACTTGTTACTAGAAGCGATGCACTTGTTCCTAGTAGCTTATTGGTTCCTAGATGTGGTTTTCATGAGACAAAAGCTTCTTGCTGCTCGTGGCGTCCGATCGCTCCTAGCAGTAAGGCCAGGAGGGATGTGCCCCGTTCCGGTCGCGTCCGAATGCTCCGTTTGTTTCGCGATGCCCTTGGCACTTCGTAGTGTGCCTGTTTCTGGACGCGGACTCACTCACTCCCTACGAGTCTCTCCTACGGTGTCCTTCAGACGAGGCCGGCTACAATCGGCGACAGCGGGCGTGCTCCGGTGCTGAGCTGTTCGGCGCAGAAATGCAGGATAAAACACAGAAGAAGCTACTCTAGTAACAAGGATGCTACTAGGTGGAGGCCATCGCAAGTAGCTTGGAGGCCATTAAATGCGAACGTAACAAGCAGCTACGAACGTAGCTAGAAGCCGAGACAGTAGCTTGAGCCGAGACAGTAGCTACGTTCGTAGCTTGGAAGCCAGGACCAAACACGGAACGTCCTGACTCCCGAGCTGAGCCACCAACCGTGGGTGGGCACCCCCGGTGTCCCCCCGTGAACCGTGGACGGTTTCAAGGTGATCCACGTTCCTCAACGGGGCGGCAACGAAGAAAACCAACCCCAAACACGACCTGTCTGGGACTGCCAGTCCGGACTGCCGATCAGGCCAGGGGTGGTTGAAAGGGGGTCAATTGATCGGCATATATGGCAGTCCCATGGAGTGTCTGGGAACCTCCAAGGTCTGTCCAACACCCTTTCCTTCTTCCGGATCGGGAAGGAGGGAGTTCGTATATGCGCCGCACGCGAACGTGAGGGCCCGGCGACGTTGGGAACGAACGACTCTGCGACGCAAATCGTGAAGCAATCCCAAGCGATGCATGCGTATTTGGTACTTGGATTTGCTTAAGGAACCTGGAAAAAACAAACCAGGTCTAGGTGGTGAATGTATCGGTCATCGTCGCGCCACCATCTATCCTTCGTCCGCGAATGGACACTCGCCGGCGACTTCCGGTAGGACGTTCCAACCGCTAGATGCGAAGTGGCGAGCGGAGCGTCCTAGCACCACACCGAGCAACGGGGTATACACGATCGATGGCAGTTTTTTTGGAACGCACGAATCAAACCGGCGGCGTGCGAAGGAGTAGAGCAAGAGGGGTGCTATGGTCCTGTCATTGGGGGTCTTGGAGATTAATGGCCTGCAGCAAACCCACACACGAATGGGACTGAGATATTTAATACCCACATTGGGCTGGTTGACCCGGGTCTTTCTGGGGCTATTCCAGTCCCATTCGTCGTGTTTGGGAAAAGTTCTGACATCAGCTAAGGGCATTACTAGTAGTAGCAAGAGCATATCGCTACTAGTAACAAGGGCATTACTAGTAGCAAGAAGCTACTATATAGTGGCTAGCTTTGCTTTACTAGTAGCAATGCACTGGTTACTACTACTAAGCGATGCAGGGCGTTAGACAGATAGCAAGAAGCTGGGTTACATCATCGCGGCCGCTCCACTAGTCCCTATAGTCCCACTCTATCCGCTATCCGCATTGGTGCGGCCGCTGGGTCCACGACGCACCAAGGACGATCCATCGATTCCCCGATTCCTTGTAGGACCGGTAGTGCTGGGTATCGATGGGCGCATCTGGCACATGCTCTTGGCGTTCCTGGGATGAAGCATGAAGCAAAGAGAGGATGTCCTCATGGCACTGCACTGGTGGTAGTCCTAGCCTGCATGACATCAAGGTTAGCATGGCCAGGGGCCTGTATACATAGAACCCCTCAAAGCTTTGCAACCCATCGTGCTTTCTCCCCTTTTCCCTTGCATCGTGAGGTGAGGATCTGTGAAGCCTTGAAATTGCCAGAGATGAAGCCTTTGTTTCACTCTTCCTGTGCCACCCCCCACAGTCCACATTCAAACCACCCAATGCCGCAAACCTCTTCATTTCTGGCGCGATTTCCCGCACCGTGGACCGAAGGGTGCGATCTTCTGAATCCCCCCAACGTTTGGGGGGTGTCTCTTCGCCCAAATGCACCGCTTCACCCAGCACCATCTCCATCATCTTCACCGACACACTCGCTCACGGCACTCGCGTTTCGGCACTCGCTCGGTCTACCGCGGCCGGAGCGGCGCTTCCGGAGCAGCACAGGTTGGACTTTCCAAAGATCGTCATGGCGGTCCCCTGCGGGTCACCGGTCCGAGCTTCGACGTCCGGGAGAGGTCCGAGCTGGTCCCGCCTCGGGTTGGGCCGTGGCCGTGACGCTAGAAACGAAGAACGAACACGTGCAAGAAGCGTTTGGTCCGTGATCTCTGTCAGGCGGATTAAATCTATAGTATTAGTATATTTTAACATATAGTCTAAAGTTTTCTATCTATAGTTGTCTATCGCTTATCTATACTAGTATATTAGTTATCGTATATGAATCCCATTTCACCCACATGTGAGTCTTCAGTCTCTGTCAGTTGTCAGAACTCAGTCGACGTCTGCGTGGACGTCTGCGTCTGCGGGTTGGGTGGATGACTTAAACTCCCTTGAGCCAGAACTGCCGCATGACAGGCTGTGCACCCGTTTTTCAGGGCGACTCTGATGGTGCGGGTCGCTCCCATTGCGGCGCCGAACCAAGTGGTCCGGATGGTGAGCACTTCTTTCGATGAATCCGGCTTTGTTGGGGGGGGAAGCTGCAAGTAGAGACGTGACTCAGAGATGTCCAATGAATTCCATCCAGGAACCCGGCAGAAACACGGCCCGAAAGCATCTTTTTCATCCTTCTTCCAGCTGAAAACGATGATGAAGGCCTGCGAGCAACCGCTGCAGTGTGCTCAAAAGTAGGGAACATCCCAACATGTCCAAGACCTTCAAATCTTTCACCAACAAACACGCCCCTCACACTCCACAGCCGAGCCTGGCAATTCACTCCAGTAACGGCGCTTGCCTTGGGGAGCCGACCGTGTGGACAGCCGGATGCCAGCTGAGTGAGCGGAAGCCGGATGCCATGGTGGTGCCGATTGACCCTGGTGACCATGGCCTGTGAAACTAACTAGACATCGAGTGGCCCGAAAGCATTTTTTCATCACGTAGGAAGTCAGAGTGTGAGTTAAGTGTTCAGTGTGAAGTGTTAAGTCGAATGAAACTAAAAAAAATCTTCGGTGCTGGGTTACACCAAGCAACAACTCTCGCTGTGGCCGGTCCGCCACAGCGTTTCCGGCTTCCATCGGCTTCCACTGGGTGTGCCGGGCATTTCCTTCGCTTGCGCTCGGCGTCCAAAGGTGCGCATGAGCATGAAGAGAGTGAACCTGAGGAAGGGTTGATTAGTCACCGCTCCGCACGAGGAGAACGGTGACTGGAGGAAAGGAATGATTCCGTCCCGCAAACAAATTGATTCAATGATGATCACACGATATCACACTGGTCAAAGACTTGGGGTAACTTAGGTGTTTGATGGTTTTTAAAACGGTTTCTGGTGGGGCCTCAGGCTTCTACAAACAAGGTCCGGTTGAGCCCGAAGAGCTGGGCTCGACCAATTTTCACAGGCTTGTTGGCGCGATATTTTGGAACTGAAAAAGGCATGCCAACCTATAAGTAATGGCAACCGTTATAAGGCCAATTCCAGGTGAAGATAGAGTCAAATCTCAAATCGTCTCAACAAAACATCCAGTTCTCAGCTGAATCAAGGGTGGATTTCGACCAGTGCTCAACCTCATTGCACAACATGTGGATATAACAGTCAGTATGTTTACCCAATTTCGTATTTTTTTTGAACAAGGCCTGCAACCTAACCATCATCCACCGGGCCCTGGTCATAGGATAGAGCTAAGATATGGCATACTTCTCCAACCAATACCTGGTCAAAGACTCCGCTGATTGCTCTTCCGGTCTCACCGGTCAAAGCAACAGAGTTAACCAATCATATAGTGTCCTAAGTGTGCCAGCCAGTGATACAACATGATGAGGGGTTGGTATGGGTTAATCAAACAGAATCAATCATCAACATGCTCATTTTCCATTCTACCAGCCAAAACAAACAAAACCAAGGTTACAAAACCGAACAAAACCTTGAGACCTCCAACTGACAAGCTTGGCCATTTGCACCGTGAAAGTGAACCCTTCTTCATGACTGGCAGAGCGAGCGAGCTCAGCTGGCACTTCCACTCTTCGACCGGGCTCTCCCAACACAAAGCCAAAGCCCGTGGCAAGGCACAGCAAAGCCCTCAGCTTGCGTACAGCCGGCGGTGGGGGGCAGCACTTCGGAACGTCTCGCCGTGGTGGGAAGGAGGGAACCGTCTCTTCCTTCGTCCGATTTTGACTGGTGGAGGGTCCTGGATCTTCCGGTTCGCCCTGGATGTGCCGTTTCCTGGCTGGTTTACAGTAGATCGTATGGAGATGGGAATGAGAAAGTGGGTGAGTCAGTATATCATCAATTCTGTATAACAAAGCCACAAAACGCTTCGACACGTTTGCTGACCATAGTGTAACATGATCTGTTTACTGTTTACAACTCTTTCAGTTGTAATAGGCTCTAGACTCTATGTTTATAGATTGGCAAATGGCATCAACACCAACAACATCTCGGTCATCCACATGAATTGAGTCTGGTGGTCAAAACATCATGGAGAAGACGCTCTCTTCAACTTTGACTGCAACCTGCCACACTACAGCCACTGAATCTCTGATCCTGCGGGCCCGCGTGTTGAACATAGTCCACTCACCAATTTAACAGCCTACCCGTGAAACTCATGCTCTGAAAAAAAAAACAAACAAAGAGGACACCTAGCTCACAATGCTCACATTCTTGGCAAACCATCCACAAAGCCCTGCACTGGACATTTGGGCCAGCGAGCTCTCCAGCCTGCGCAGTAGGGCCCGGGCTGTGCGCAGTAGGGTGCGGGGGACCAGTGGCATCATTCAATTGACCAAATATCACGGGGTATATCCCAGTACGGAGGACCAGTGGAGAATGGTTGGTAGTAAAGTGTTTTTCAGGCCTTTCGTCTTTCTCAAAACGAATGATCATCGTTTATCTTACTGGTGGTATAAGCCCATTGGCATTCAGACATTTATCAACAGACAGTAGGGAATGAGGGAATGACGCCCTTCCCCTTAGATACCTTACGACGCCTTACGAATCGCACCAGTCAATCACACGGTGCGATCGCCTCGGCTGTGTTGTCCGAGCCACAGTCGTTGAGGTATGTGGGGTTCAAAGGTGTTTCAGCACGGATTGTTGTGGATTTGTTTGGTCCTGGATTCACCAATCATCTTTCAGAATCGAAGAAAGAAACACAGATCCAATATATTTGTTTTCCTATTGTTTCGTCAACTTCCATTCCACCATCTTCAACCTATTTCATCCAATTTCTATACTTACCCCAGCCACTCAGCTGACGAATCACACCTATACTTACATGCCTCAGGCCAAGAGTCTCAAAGGCCACAGGCAGCACAGGCGGAAAGAGTCTGTGATTGAAAACGACCTCCGAAAGAACAGGATGCCGGAACATCCAGAAAAGAGCTCCATGTGTCCACCATGTGTTTCACCACGAAAACACATCAACCAACTGTTTTCGCTTCACCGACACGGCCGCCCCCAAGAACCCTCCGCCCCAGAACCCGCGGAACCGGCGGGACCCTCCGCATGGGGTCCGACCTCGAGACCCGGCTCCTCGCTACAGGTGGAGGCGAAGAGTTCGCTCCACTCGGCCTATGGAGCTTCGGGTCACGGAGCGTTTCACGGAGGTGGTCACGGACCGTGGTCCGAAGCGGCGGAACGGGGCGGAACGAACAGAACTGTAAACCCGGAAGAACGAACTGTGCTGAGGAAGTGCGAACTTTCAGGATGTGAATATCGAAACTTGGTTTATCACCTAGTTCATGCCGGCAGGGTACTTCATACAATCCTTCCAAGCGGGAATGAAGCGTTTTTCATGGACGGCACTTTCATGTTGAACTGTAGTTATATCATGCAGTGCAACTGTCTCCTCTTGAATTTGTCACTTGACCCAAGCCTTTGAAGAAAAGACACCCTGAATAACTGCATGTGGAAGGAAAAAGAAGGAACACAAAGGACAACTGAGAGGTGGTAGGTGCCAACTGATTGCAACCGGTGTGAATCAAACGATCTGAGACTTTCCGAAACCACCGACAACATTTGAAGCTCTCCTCGGGAACGCTGGATGAACAGGAATCAGTTCAGGTTCTCAAGACAAAACAGCATTGCACATGGAAGTGGCTACTATTTGTCGAGGAAAATGGTCATCCAAGGGGCCAGGTTCGACTTCCATTTTGTTTCCAGTGAGTGTAAACAGTTTTTAGACAGTTGTCTGCTCATGTTTTCTTTGAGGATTGGCCCACCGGTGGCCAAAGTCATACGGGGTTGCTGTGGTCATCTTCATACCTCCTGAGATATCCCTCCATTTCACCGAGAATCGACATCTCAAGCTTGGTGGGTTTCTTTCCATCTGTGCTTGGCTTTTCGACCCTCCGCGCTTCGTGGCCTTTTCTTTCCCAACCTCCTTCTTCGCCCCACTCCAACCGCGCCAAGCCCCCCACCCCGAAGAGCAACACCCCAGCCGACCCACACCGTCCACACCGTCCCAACCTCCGAGCCGCGCGCCGGAGCCGCGCGGCTCCGGAGCTGCGCGGAGCCCTGACCGCGGCTCCCCTACGGACCGGAGCCTCCTTGGGATCGAAGACCCACACGTCGTTCAGCGTCGTGCGCTTCGTGGATCCCGGCAACGTCTCACCTGGCGTCGTGCGTTTCGTCTGGTCGGACAGACGGAGGGCGGGCGGACCCGGCGGAGCCAACGAAATACGAAAAGGGATCGAGGTTCAAAAGGCGGTGATCTTTGTTTTTTGGGGGGTTGTGGGGTTCAATTCATGGCTCCGACCTGTTCTACTTTCAGGTGAAGTTTCCAAGTGGATCGACCCGTTTTGGGATGTTCCACCAGGTTGTGGAAACATGTGGAAGCCCTCCATGTTTCAATCTCATTCGGACCCCATGGTGCAACCCAAACTGGGCCCGAACGACCGCAACCGTTGGCCGGACCAACCGACCACTGCGCCGAGGTACCGCGGACACCGCGGACGCCGCGTCCTCGTTGTCCCGTTCGCCTGCGAAGATGGCCAAGTGTGGCCGACCTTTGTAAATCACATCTGACCTCAGCGCTGCAGAGCGTCCTTGTTCGGCCAGTTTTGCCCCCGTTTTTTCTCGCATCCGATCGCTCCGTTCGAGTGGCGATGCCAGGAGCCCCTATTCGTAGCTTCTTGTTTCTCCTCGATCAACCCTGGGAGTCCACCGATTTACGAATGCTCTGACCAACGGTGATCAACTCGTTGAGGAACAGTCTGACACTGGACTGCTCGTCCTCGGACAACCCGTTTGGGTGCCGTACCTCGCCCGGTTGAGGATCATACGTGAGTGCATGACTATACCCTGGGAGTCAAAGACTACAAAAAGAATGCTCTGACTAGGGGACCTGAGTTCGGGAACTTCCTTTACTTCAGCCGGTCAAAATATAGTCGAACTGGACTTCTAGGGTATATACATGGCTAGTGTTCATGATATGATGTAACAACTTCTGTTTGGAAGTCATCTGCCCACAGATGTCACCACCTCCCTTTCGCTCCGGTCCTTGTCTCTACCCGTTCGCCCCTTTCTGGGCGAGTCCGACACGCCAGGCATAAAGCGTGCCGCCGGGGCGCTCCCCTCGACGGCGAGGGGCGAGCGAGACGGTCCCCATCCACCCACCTGGCTGATGGTTTTGAGGGAGTGAGCTATAAAGGCTACTGCAACTCACTACCGGAGATGTGCCAATACAAAACTGGGTGCTGTGGTCAAATGCCCACATCTGTCCAAGGCATGTATTTGCAAGGCTTGCCACCTACTCACGGGTGCGGCGGAGTTAGGACTGCAGCAAACTACCAGCAAGAAGATTCCGCTGGCTTGGCAAGGGCAACGAGTTTTGTACCCACCTACCTACCCACCTACCTACCTACTTACCTACCTACCTACCTACCTACTCGTATAATCCAAATATACTCATCATCAGATATCATCAATGGTATGCTGAAGAACTCCCCTCTCCATTCAAGTCAGTTGACTAGCGCTTGCTGTCTAGCGGTTTTCCAAAGCGTGTGGCGCTCTCAGCATGATCCACACATCGGGAATTGAACAGTTTCAGTTTCAATTACTTTAAGAGGTGTGCGTAAGGACACAATTAATTGGGTTTTGGATGGCTCACAGTTGAATCTGCAGGTGCGGGTCAATTCTCCGGAAGACCAAGTGTAACATCCAGGGACGGGTCAAAACCTGAAGCCCCAACACCAAATAGCTTGACCTTCCTGGTAGGTCAGCCAAGGCCTCCTTTTTTTTGACCCACAGCCACATCCACGTGAACTTGGAGTGTCTGAGTGCTAGTTGGGCAACCGGACGACTGGCTCGTGCAGGGTCCAGCGAAGGGTGGTGAGACTGTAACCTCAGCCAGCCCGTTTGTTCGTACGCTTGGGACTATTACGAACCATTTCTGACAGAAGGGGTTAGGGAGGCACAATGGTTTTTTGTTAAACGAGTTTCAAAATCTGTTCGACACTTTTTGTTTTTACATGTTTTGTGCTATGTAGTCCTTACAACTTACAGCAAAATGCAACTATTCAGTTAGACAATGTGAGTCCTGGAAAGTTTCTGTGCCATTGGAAGCTTCAAAAACACCTTTTAGTGGCTCTGTGAAGCTTTCCTTCTCCGCCAAAGACCTCGGCTCTTCACCCCAGCACCACCGGAAACCCAACGGCTGGAAACCTGGTGGAAAGATGTGAAAACTGGGTCCTGAAAACATACCCCGAGAAGAACAAAGGAACCGTTCCCAAGCTTCAACCGCACCGGACATCCGCCGTCGGTCTCGCCAACGCCACCAAGGCGCTCCACACATCGGCCAGCACCGAGGTCTTCTCGCGCTTCTCGGAGCAACGGCCACCATAGATCTGACCGCCATGCGCAGCAACGGCCACGGTCGACACCGGAAGCCCAGCGACAGCAAGCGACAGCAAGCTCGGCGCAGCTGAGGATCAGACTTTAGAATTTTTTGAGGATCAAACTTCAGCCCAAGGGGGAACAAAAAACCGTTTCTCGAAGACCGGACGGCAAACCATGAGACCATTGGAGATGACACTATATCATGCACTATTTACCCAGAAGGAAGAGAGACAAACGAACCATGTTGTTGGGCGAACTAAGCTATACATTAACCTTGCTATATACAACGAGGCCCGCCGCGACGAAATGGCTGGTCCGCGGGGTCTCGTTGCATGTTGCCATGCCTTTACATGCGTTGACAACATTCAGGAGTGGCTCCTCTCATGGTGCGGGGGACCGGCCTGTGGTCGTGATAGCGTTGGTATTTACAGGGCAGGCGCTGGTCATGCCCAGAGGTCATGGTATTTTCAGGAGTGGCCCTGCCTGTGGCCCTGGCAGTCGTGGTATTTGCAGGACATTGCGCAAACCTATCAGCTACTTCGCACAGATGTCCACAGATGTCCACGGATAACGAACGTGTTAGCACGGACGCCGTATTCCTGGGAAAAAACAGCGCGGATGGGTTTCCGTCAATTGAGACTTACACAGAATTACAAATGAATTGCAATGAAATACAAAAGAATCCACAACAACATATCGACGGATGCAGAAAAATCGATCACGGATGCTGAGAAAAAACAGGCAGTCACATCCAGATCAAAGACTCCCACCGTAAGGGGGGGAGGAGGAGAACTTGAGGAAGCATCAGAACCATTAGCCTCCGCTGTCTCATGGGGCTCTGCTGGCGCGTAGACGCCGTGCGCAACTATCAACACAAATCGCTTGGGGAGCGCAAGCGTCTCTGCGCGCAGTGCAAGCCATTACTAGACCACGCCAGTTTCAGGGCTTCGTTCTTTCTTTGCGACGGTCACTGGTTACGGTGTCTTTGACGTGACAACCCTTGGCAAACCAACGCAGAAAACACCGGTGGACAGCTTACCGTCGCAAAAAAAGGACCCTCCCCGGCCTGTGCTTGTGGCCCCTGACAGTACGTGATACTCAAGAGTGAGGCCACCAAACCACGCCAAAAATGGCCTCAACACTCTGGTCCCCTGTAGAATGGGGCCGTCCCTTCTTCTGAATGCTACCTCGCCAGATTTGGGGCACCGCTTTTGGGACCATGAAGCTCTAAGTAATGGTAGGATCTGGAATGATGATTCTTTCTAATTCAAGGGCTGCGTCGGGCATGTGCCGCGGGATGAGAGTCTCGGACTAAGTGAAACCTGATGTGCAACTGATCTTTTTCCAAGCAGGGCAATGCCAAGTTTTATGCTAGCACTCAGGGAATCACGCTGCATCGATTCATCACACCAACTGGATGGAACTCGTGTTTTCTCCAACGCGTTTTTTCAACCCTTCCAGTCGCCTTTCGTTTTGCCCGCACCAAGGTTCGGGCGAAAATTTGATCCTCCAGCGTGGCTGCTCCGTGGTGGTCCCGCGCCGGCGGCCTGGCACCGCTCTTTCGCAGTGGAAGTGAAGCGGAAGCGGGTGAGGACCGACACCGAACTCGCCATGTGGTGGGCCATGGCTTTACGAAGACGAGAGGTGGCTGTGATCTGAGAAAGGACCTGATGATCCCATGGCTATAAAGAGAATGGTCTGTAGGTGACCCGAAAAGGAATTTCCTTTGCTTCAGTCGGTCAAAACATAGTCTTTGGACTTCTAGGGTAATATATGGGATAATCGAACTCGGGTTCTGAACAGCCTCTGTTGGTGGGTATAACATATATTATTTCTATCATCTTCTTTTGCTTGTACTGCTTGCTCACCAAAAGAACTGTAATGGCTAATCTATACTTCTCTAGATTGTGTGTTATCTTGCCACCCAGCTGCATTAAAGGAGGACATTCCTGGTCTGTTGATATGACAATCGTGGACCCAAGTTCTTGGATCAGGTACGGTCCGATTTGGTTCGTCCAGTACTGAGTGCCGAAACCGACTTCGTTCACTTCCTCCAAGCGAAGGCATCGCACCAACACGCATTCCACCCGCCGCAGTGAAGCGAAGCGCTTCCTTTTCGACATCGCGTGCCAAGCGAATCGGCCATCCGATGCATCGCTGATTTTAGACCATCCGCCGCGCGCAACGCGCGTGACGGACTTCTCCACGTGACACGACTTCATGTGATCCGTTTTCAACGGTCTTCGCGGTCTGGCGCGCGGGGCGTAGAGTATCGACCTCTCTGTCATGGCATGAAAAAGACGTAGACCGGGAAGTCCAGGCCATCGAGTGCTTGCCGTTCCCAGCGGCAGCCTTCCCCCAAAGGTCTCAGGGTATGCGGATGCACTGGAGCTACACGCGAGAAGGTTCCAGCACCTTTGATTTCGATGTCACCCTCACCCCAGCCACGTGGTCGGCCGTTGTGGAACATTTCCCTTAGAGGCGAAAAGCTCGAAGTAGAGCTGGGCTTGAGCTGGGGTGCATTGAGTAGTCACACCCTCTAACAGTGGTCACATATACACACAGCAGTGTGAGTAGTCACACATGGGCCGCTGGATCATCCTGGATTTCCAACGGCGTCTTGCTCGAGGGCGTAATGATGTGTTTCTTTTCGGATACGGAAGGTGATCATATGGTCTTTTTGGTCACACAAGGATCGCTTCTCCTTTGAGACTTTGGGCAAAAGAACTCACACTTTCTGGAATGACCTTCCGGACCTTCGACCCACTTCTCTGTGCCTTTCTCGAACAGGATCACAAAACCACACGAATTGAACTGAACACTGAATATATTTTATATTCTAATTCCAAACGATCTCAAATTGAACAAAAGATAACCAACGCATGAACAACACACCAGTTCAAAACCTCTCCAACCACGACGCCGAACCTGGTCCTTACGGCCTCTTCCAACCCCCTGCAGTCCAACCAGCAGTCCACGACCACGGCGACCTCACTCTACCGAGCGTCCGCTTCAGTCCGAACTCGCGGGCCCGGGCGTCGGAGAGCTCGGAGGAGCCGGCGCCGTAGCGTTCCACCCAGGCCTGGGTGCCGCGGTGCCCGGTGCGGTGCCCGGTGCCCAGTCCAGGTGGAGAACACCGAAAAAAAGACACCAAGGCCTATAAGGACGACTGGTCCAAGGAAGACTTGGGGGGAAGACAGTTCTCAGAATCACTGGAGGTGAAGGTATACCAGGGTCTAGAGCTCCAGACCACTGACCCACTAGCAAATCGGTCCCCCCAAAGATATTCCGGCCACACAAGTGAATGCCAGGGACATCTTCCATCTCGTCCGAGCATCAGCATTGTAGATATTTGAGACTGCACAACAGATCACAGCTCCTTCTTGATGTCGACGCCTCACTTGCCTCAACCAATGACAACACCAACCTCAGCCAGCAACTCACAGCAGACTGGAGTGAGTCATCGGGCACCTTCAAATATCCCTAAAAAAGATCTAATCCGTTGGAATAAGTCAGAACCCCTGGTGCTTTGCAACCTTGGAACCTTTAAAACCGAACCACATTTCATCACATGTCGTTCTTCTTCATGCTTGGGGTTTCCATGGCGTTTCTTTCGTTCTTCCCAGCCACAGGGATGTTTGGAGCCCACTTCCGGTGGCATCCTCTGGCTGCGCGACTCCACCAGGCAGTTCCACATGGCATGTCGCTCCGATGACGCCGCCGGCACCGGCACCTCGTCGCGGCCGCAGTCGGCGCTCGGATGGATCCAGCGGCCCTCGTCCGCGGAGAAGCCGAAGACCGGCAGCTCATCGAACCACACCGTGGCGCTCCCTGCACGACGGACGAACGACGATGTGTTGAGCGGTTCTTTGGAAAATCCGCGGCGGGTGGAGGTTGGAGGCCGTCGCCTTGGAGGCCATGACTATTAGAAACAAAGAAAACAGAAACGGAAAAAAAGTCTAATAATATGCATCGATAAATATAGTCTGCTAGTAGGTTGGAGGCCAACGCCGTCGTCGCCTCCGGAGGTCTTGCGGAGCTCTTCCATGACCTGAGCATAGGCTTGACCACCCGGCACAGAAGCGCCAGTGGCTTCGAAGCGGTCGCGCATGCCGTAGAAGCAGCTGGCATTGGTGTAGTAGCTGAAGATCAAGCCAGTCCTGAGAAAAATCCCAACAAAGGCTGAAGAACTTGAGTTCGCCTCCCATAGGTACCCGGTCCTATAAGGGTAGTACTGTAACTAGGGCATCGCTACTAGTAGCAAGGAGCTACTAGTATAGCCAAGTGCATTACTACTCGTAGCAAGAAGTTACTACTAGTAACAAGTGCATTGCTATTAGTAACAAGGGCATCACTACTAGTAACAGGAAGCCAGTCACAAGAAGGGCCCGAAAGCAGCAGTTGTCAAGGGACCTCTCTTGGTCGCTTGGGGCTGGGGGAAAAAAAGTGGCCTTGGTAGCCTTGGTATGGTTTCGTGGTAAGATGTGGAAGTCATCCCAAAAGCACTGTGGGCTGATACGCTACAAGGATTTGCTTCCAAACATCAAAATATAGCTTAGGCCCTACATGTCCCTACTCCTCCAACCTGAGCTTGAAGAGTTATCAAAAAGGAGTTGTGATTCATTCGCAATCATTCAAATGGTATTCTTTCTCCACCTCATTGCCCAAACCGAGCGTACCAAACCGACCAACCGGTTGGGGCGGTTTCGTTTCGTTCTCCACCGGGTCCCAGAGTCCCCGCAGCGGCTGCCAGCTCTTTGACGAAGTCAGCATCCGTTTCCAGCCCAGGGCAATACTTGATCAGCCAGGAAGCCTTTGTGGCCTTCACCTTGAGACATCAAAGTCGAGATGCGAACTCTTAGTGCTGTACCGCTTTGAAGGTTTGAACACCGCTTGGAAGTGCACACGGTCACGTGGGCATCGAAGAGGTTCGAATGCACACTCATGGGAGTCCAGTGGAACATGCTTCAAAAAGGTCTCGCGAACGGTGATCCGAAGCAGATGTTCCTACTTCGGATCAGGTGCCCTGCAGTCGTCGCAGATGGCGTGCTGGCGCCTTTCCGACCCTGCAAGGGCGCACACGACGACTGGCCTCTTGGTTCTTACGTAATTTGCGATGCACTGTGCGGTTCTGGGTAGGACATGGCCAAGTGCATGTCCAACTTACTAGGGAGGGAGTGGATGCCACTTACTAGAGTAGCTTCTTGTTACTACTAGTAAGGCACTTGCTATTAGTTGCGATGGACTTGATAGTAGCTTCTTGTTACTACTAGTAAGGCACTTGCTATTAGTTGCGATGCACTTGATAGTAGCTTCTTGTTACTACTAGTAAGGCACTTGTTACTAGAAGCGATGCACTTGATAGTAGCTTCTTGCTACTACTAGTAAGGCACTTGTTACTAGTAGCGATGCACTTGTTTCTAGTAGGACATGGCCACGCACACCGCCCCCGGCCGCGGTGCCACCGCTTCGTCCTCCGACCGTTCGCCGCTTCGTCCGAGGCGCCGCGTCGAGGAGGAAGCTCTTGTTGTGGCGGAGGGCTTCGGAGGCGAATTCCAAGGCGGTGCCATCGGACAGGATCGCTGCCATGACCACCTAATAGGAGCTAATAGGACAAAGGTCCCCACTTAGGGAGGTGAGTGAGATCGAAAAAACGGCCGTGAGGTTCTGGTTTTGGGTGAATTATGGCAGAAGGTAACATATTTAGAGTGGAAGATCCTCATTCATCCATGAAGCCAACAGTTTGAATCGTCGTGTGAGAGGCACCTGAGGCACCTGATCATTCCCTAGAAGTCGAAAGACGATACTTTACTGCAGTGAAGTAAAGTTACTTCCCTTCAGGTACTGAAAAGACCACATTATATTCTTTCGAAAGTCTTTGACTCTCAGGGTATTGATTGCTTCTTGAGGCAATCAGGCTAGTGAAGCTGCTCTGAGAAGGAACATTGGCCTGCTTCACGTATGAGGTCAAACCCGTGAAAGACACAACAAAGGAGAATGATCCTTTCCGGCCAAATGGACAGAACACAAATTGACAGCGTTACTTGTCACCAACAACTACCTGTGCATATACCAGCAGTGGGGGAGTTAATGCCCGTTCTTTTGTTCCAAAGGCTCCCTCTGTTGCCCGGACCTCCTTGTCATTTTGCAGCTCTTTTGGTGCACTTCGCAGCGTGTCGCCCTTCTCTTGCACTTTCGCCATCCACTCCCTCTTCACCTCCTCCTTAGACTTCTCCTTGGGCACCTCCTTGGCTTCGGCGGCTTGGGCAAGAACATCAAATTGAGATGTCCTTTTCACCCGCAGCCATGCCCAATTCCATTGGACACATCATGAAACACTCTGCAAGTGCAGCGCCACTAGTGGAAGAATGCATGAGGTGCAAACGTCCCACCCTAGGCGGCGGCTCAAAACCAGGATACCTTGCTAACACGACTCGCGGACGCTTTTTCACGCGCTACCCGGTCATACCAAGTGGTGTACTGTGATACCGGGTGTGAAGGGTGTGAAAATAGGTGTAAAGAAGTGTGTACGCCGGTGTGTAGTGATCACACATATTGTGGGTACGAGGTGTGTGCACGGACTATGCAGGACTGCTAGGTAAATCTGTCTGTACTATACAATCCAGCGGGCGAATTCTGTGGGGCAAGACCGGACCAGGCAAAATATCAGGCACCTAATTTACAAAAGGATCTGGGATGATGTCGGATACCAGGATGATGTCGGATGTTGACCTAACTGGAAGGTCAAGGTACATGGTGTTGGAACTCCAGGTTTTGACGGAATCCCCATATTGGGCATGAGATTGGTACTGTTGCCATTTGCGCATCACGCCCTTTGGCGATAGTCCATTGACAGTTCTCTCAGCCGCCATCAGCTTTGCTGGTTTGGCAACTCACTAGGCACCCCAAATACGATGACATTCACAGTCAGTCAGCCAAAGTATCCGCGCAACAAAGAAAACGCACCAACCGAAGACGCTTATTGCGAAGGGAACAGTAGATGACCGTACTTACACTAGTTAGCCTTGGCTAGGAGATGGGGCCCTGTAACCGCATGTATACACCGTATATAACGATAAATAGACGTTTAGTTTCCCGCGGAAATTCATGAGAAGGTGAGAACACCTTTCCGCCCAGTACACTACGTATACTAGTCGCAAAGACGCTACTAGTAACAAAGGGCATTGCTACTAGGAGCAAGGATGCTACCAGTAGCTCCTGACTGTACTACTAGCAAGGACGCTACAAGCAAAAAAAGAGACTCTGAAGGGGCCCCCAAGTGCTATACATCAAAGCTTGAGCGACATTATTAAGCTATATCTAGTTGATGTCACTTTTGAGATCCCTGTGTTTTGAGCCACACGCAAAAATACCCATGATACATGCAAACGGATGCGCACATTGCGTTGGTTTCTCATTGTGCCGCGTTGCTTTCTCGCCGCTGGCCATCGGTGCAAAATGGCATCAATCGACCGTACCTGCTGATGGCACCTGAAACGCAGAGCGTTGAGCCGCCGTTTCTCGTTGAGCGAACACAGCCAACCATCCATGCACGAACGGAACAAAGCATTTAAACTATGGAACCTGCCATCACATTGGTAGAACCCTTACCATCCCCCCCTATGTCAATATCATGTATACCATATCCTGATGCCACAAGACATGTCCTTCAGCTTGCTCGGCCACCGCATCGCCGAGACCGGACATGTTCGGCAACTGCTCCGCCGAGAGACGGCTCGATGTTCGTCGACCGGTCTCGTCTCCCGCGCACGGTCTCTGTGACGACGGAGCCACGGACGAAGCGGACTTCGAGCCAAAGACGCCAGGTACAACTCCGGTCGCCACAGGAACCGAAATACAACACTCCTGGGACGGACGTGTGCGCGCGCGCTGCGCGCTGCTCCCACCACATGAGGAAAATGGGCAAGGTCTCCGGTTGAAGCTCTTCTGGTTCAATTCTGCGATCCATTGAACGACTGTTGTATACCTGCATGATCATGCATGAGAACACTTATCAAAAGGGTTCGTGGTATTTATGGGCATCGACCATCTGAGATCGGATTTGTGGCTGGTTGCATCGAACTCACACCGTCGAGCTGGTCGCTGGATGTCGCTGGACCCGCAGAAGTTCAGCAGAAGCTTATAGATAGACGATTAAGACACAATTTCTACAGACCAAATCCCTTAGAATCAGAGGGACCTTACATATGAATCAGCTTCTAGGTTGAAGGTCCCAAATCTTCCAAATTAAGAAAGTATTCCCGTTCGAAAAAACCTCTCTCCGTTCACTACTGGGGACCACCATGGACCACGCTCCCAGGCGGCACATCTGCCAGCCCCGCCTGCGACCAATGGTTGGTGCCTCTCCCCAGCGATCCTGTCGACGGCGACGATGACTGCTGTAGATTGAGGTAGAGGGGTAGACATGGGCAGAATTCCGATGTGGATGGCGCAGGAATTCCGCCTGGGTGTTCCAACCGTGAAAGTCATGCCTTTTCATCCAGCCAAAAAGCGTTTTCTATTGTATACAGTTGAAAGTTGGAAGATGTTGGAAGATCTAGCTATATCATGTTGGCCCAAAAGGAGCGACAGCAAGTTCTGTCGTGATTTCAAGCGTGCCTTTGAGGGGGGCGCAGTTCTTGGTCCCCGCTTTATGCAACGACAGGGGTCGCCTTGACGAAGTCGTAGAGCCAAAGATCGTTGTAGTAGACATAGGCCTTGGAAGACGACACCGCTGTATACTCCTACTGCTAGTGCCACTGCTGACGACCACTGACAACGACGACGACGACGACGACGTCCTCAGCCTAGAGACCAAATGGAAAGGGCCCCGAAAGGCAAGCAGTCGTGAAAGCTCCCGCAAAAACGCTCCGTCGCGGTGAGTGCGTGTGCTTTCACACCGCCCATGGCGGATCCGGTCGTCCGGACCCTCCATGGCGGGGCGGGGTCGAACCCTCTAGTTCACCAGGGTGGCGGTCGGGGCCCCGAAGTGACAGGGGCCCTTGTCACCAAACCTTTGTTTTGTGGACCGGGTGCGGATCCGGGTCTCGGGCGACAGTACCGAAGGCGACTCGTCCATCGGCGACTCTGTCCAAGCTTGGTGGCCGGCACTACGGTCGGTATGCTCCGCCTGTGCCAGCTGAAGCGAGTCTGCCCGGTCAAAAGAACTTCGTTCGGAGAGAATCAGGATCAGCAAAGAGGTTGTGATTTACTGGACGTCTCTGATTTTCTGGGGAATGTCTTGAGGTTTGACAAATCTGATCTGAATGGTCAGCAACCGAAAAATGCCCGATCCACTTGGCCGACAGGTCCCGGATCCACTGGGGTCGATCGATTGGAACTGATGCAACACGTGTCGTTCTCAGCCTTGGAGCTCAGAAGCCAAAAGGGCATTGTACGAACGGGGCTCCTGGCCGTACTACTAGGAGCAAGAAGCTAGACTTCTCTGAATTCTACAGGTGATCCAATCAGGCGCCTTTGCGGAGCTCCGACCGAAACGGGAACCTTCTTCGACGGACGTCAGCCGACCGGGGGCCGAACCGTGGACCGAACCGTGGACGGTCAACAGATCAAGCCGCCTCTGGACCCGTCGGTGAACTTCAGTCCCACCTGAAAGGCGCCCAAGTGTCGTCCTCCAAAGAAGGCCAAATACTTCCTCAGTGAATCACGAACGGGGCGAGTTCACGCGCGTGAACTGGGGGGGCGCACAGCGGGGCGAGTTCACGCGCGGTCGCGTCGTCTTGGGCTCGGCAGCGACGTGTGTGAAACTCACCGATCGACCATGGTGAGTTCAAGCCGCCCAAAGATGACATGCGTCTTCAGCTATGCAAGAAGCTACTAGTATCACGCTAGTAGTAACAGGTGCCTTACTAGTAGTAACAAAAAAGCTATTAGAAACAAGTGCCTTACTAGTAACAATAAGAAGAATCAATGTTTCTCTTGATCAGGTCCCCAGCCGCTGAGACCCTCCGAAAAGCGATGCTGTCGCAAGCCCTGCAGATCGACTAGCTTCGGATCCCAATGGGTGCATGATCGGCCCAACTTCCTCCCTGTCTTTGGAACGACTTCTCTATCTCTTTCATGTGTTTCTCTATGTTCTTTCTCTTTCTTTTCTTCTTTTAGACCTTTGGACGTTTCTTTCGATCAGTTTAACTCCGTTTCTCGTTCTCTGGACTCTTCACTGGAACACTCCACTGCCCTGCCGAGCGTCTTTCCATCGTGATCCCGGACATAGGACTCAGCAAAAGGGAAAGGATCTTGGGACCTTGTTCCCAACCCACAAAAGCAACCGTAGTGACAGCAATGACTAGTCACAGTGACATCAACAACCATAAATAGTCTTCACGGAAGAAATCCAGTGTTTCACACCTGGACCTTCTGTCTTTCCCACTGGCGCCAACCGGAACTGGGTTCACTGCGCCAGTCGCTCCCCATCCTCAAGCGTGTCAGGTGGCCCCGACTGGGCAAAACCAAGGGCATGTTCTTTTGAGTTTTCCAGCAACAAGAAGTGACTCCAACGTCTCCAGCAACCTTGCAAACGGCATGGCAAGAACATGCAAGAACCATATTTCGAACACCATTGACCATTGGTACGACCATTGGTATCTAGAGAGAGAGAGAGAGACTCGAGTCCACCATGTAAGGACACTGCTCAAATTTCATAGGATGAACCTGCGGCTTGGTAAGAAGGCGGCATGAACTCACAATCTTCGACTATATTTAATTTTGGCTACCAACCCGCTAGTCACTGGTCACTTCATCCACCAAATGGGTGAGACTGCCCCCAAATAGGGAACCGCTGGTCAACTGGAAAGTGGTTGCTTCGAACTTGCTGGATTGTGTGCCCACCATTTTGTTCAGCGATCCATGCAGAAGTAAATGTCTTCATTCTATCGTCATTCCTGCGTTGCTCCAATGTCAAATCTGCCCTTGCCTTTTCCCTTGCACTGTGCATGTTCGACTTTGTTTCGCACTTTCTTTTTGTCTTTCTTTACAGATTAACATGGTCTCTACTTTGTTTCTCAATGACCGCTGCGAAGAAGGACAGCTAGTTTGGCGAAAAGAGTTGATATATGTTGATCTCTTCTCTTGTTTGGCCGAGTTTCTTGCTTATGAATACTGATATCGGATCATTATTCCCTGACATGTATATCTGATCATTCCCTTTTTCCATGTCCATGTCAACACACCACCAGGACTTCAGACGAGTCCGTGGCCATCTCCGCCACTGTCCCACCGTCGACCGGAGCTGGGCCGAAGGGCGGCAGGTGGCTGGAAAGGGTGCTCCCTCCGTCCACCTGGCCGCGGCCGGCGCTCTCAGCGCGGGAGAGCGGTCAAGGTTCAGGTCGTGGGGCCTAGCGTCGTTCGCCGTCAGACGAGGAAGACTGGGTTTGTTGTGGATAACTATGGGGAACCACCGGGAAGAATAGGAGATGATAATATATGGGAGGCCATCGCTACTAGGTTGGAGGCCATCGCTTCTTTGAATTCACTCCAGGAGGTCTCTGGTTCCGCTGCTTCAAAGCTACTTGTGGAGCTTCTTTGCTTTTGGAGATCCAAAAGGAACCACATCGGACACCTGTAGCTGGCCACATGTGACCAACTGCTCCCCACCCACATGCGCCCTTTCCACCCATACCTTGCAACCTCGGAAGTGTCAGCCAGCACGGGTTCCTGGCGACGCCAGGGAGAGGAAGCGCGTCTTTGAGGGGTCAACCGGGTCGCAGGGTGGCTCCGTGTGGTTCCTAGCTCTGAGAAAGGGTCATAGCGAAAATACAACATGGACATCAATATGAAGACCCCCCTTCCGACCTTATCGCCGATCGCTTTCCTCAGCTATCATCAGATGGTGGGACTTGAAGCCGCGCTTCACCTCGAGTAGATTCGAAGAAAGAGAGACTTCCAAAAAGCTGAAAATCACTAAAACCAAGACACTAATTGGACTAATCAACCCATGCCTTCAAGGGGGCTTGATTCATAAAGGGACAATTTCTTAATTAATTGTTACCATTAACCAAAACACATCAAAACACCATTTTTAATGTTGGGCGGCTCCCCGGGCTCAGGCCAGGAGACTGATCCCACTACACTGCTCGGTTGGACTGGCTGATCTTAGAGTTGGACTTGGTGACTTGCCCCCCCCCCAAAAACAAAACACATCTCAAACAACAAACCATCGCTATTCGGTTGGAGGCCATCGCTATAGTAGGTTGGAGGGCAGTCCGCGGCCCAACAAAGAATCAACAACACATGCCTCTCTCATGTCGGTTGCCTCGGAGAGTGTCTCGTGCCTGTGGGTGCCTGGAAAGCTGTCCCCAACCACTGAAAGCTATCTCAAGCTATCTCAGTTCGCCATATTGGTCGACATACCAAATTGGATCCTATCCATGTTGGATGAGGGGAACATATGGGGTCTTATCTTGCATGGGGTCTTATGGTATCCCAACGGCTTCATCTTCCACTCCATCCACTCCACTACTCCAACCCGCTTTGGACCGATGGGCTTCCCCCCCTCGTCCGGAACAGCGACCAGCGCGCGGTCCTTGGGAATGGCCCAAAGGTCGATCAAACACTTCTCCCCCGGCCTCGGTCGCATTGCGCTCCGCCGGACCGAGCGGAGCCAAACACGACACGTCGGGACGAAGAACACGGAGGAGAAAAACCATCAACAAAGTCATTGAGAGCAACAATTGTTGAGATGGTTTTTTTCACTCTGAAAAGGTCCAGTGCGAAGACCGGCGACCATTCTGTGTCGTTCCGTGGTTGTCAGGGTCCCACGATGTCCCATAGACGTCCCATGCGGGGTGGATCGGGGTTCTTTCGGGTGGACGATCCTAACTTCTTCGCACCAACAGAGTGGGAACGAACCGCAACTGCTGAAAGGTGCGGATCCTTCTTACTGTCGAACTAAGTGGAGAATCGTTCCATCCCGGAACTCGCGAGCTTCCTGAGGCTTCCTGGCTGCACCTTCTCCCCCAAGCCTTCGTCCTCCAACTCATCGTAGGACCTTGCTCGTTCGCCGCACAGCCGGGCGGCGAACGCGCCATGCGGCGAGGGCTCGGATCTTCTTCCGCAGTCACGAAAGAGGAATGGGATGGTGTTGATTCTCACGAAAATGGAAAGACACGATATCGATTTATACCAATCTATAGCCCAAGGCCTTTGATGTGAAAGGAGGTTTGCTTCGAAAACACCGTCAGCTCTCCAAGCTCACAACGATGGCTTCGCCAGCCCAACCCCCACAAACATCCACCATCATCCATGATCCATCGATGCTAACAAGGAGGACCTTACCCAGACACTCCATGGGACTGCCATATATGCCTACATTGATCCCCAAAACCACCCCAATGTATAGGCATATATGGCAGTCCCATGGAGTGTCTGGGTTATGAATTTCTCTTCCGTGTCCAAACTTGCGCCTCTCAAGAATGCCCACCTCTCTTGAGCCCGTGTGGGTCGAGGCCCCGCACTCTTGCGCGTCTTGCTTCGTGGACTGAAACGGAGCAGAACGACGCAGAACGACGCACCAGCGGTGCAGTGGGTGATCCAAGCACCAGCCGTCCAGCCTGAACAAGGGGAACACGGTGAATACCAGGAAGACCATCACCGATTCTTGCCGGTCAACCTCCCTCTCTTTTGGTGAAAACATCTCATCAAATCCTCTATTAAGCTGTTTGATATGATTGGATATTTCTGGCCCCCAAGTAAGTGGAGAATGGGAACCCCGACTCTAGCTCCGTTCGTTCGGCACCCCTTTGGAACTGCTGGAAGTAGCAGCCGCGTCCAAGTGGACAAACACCATGATCTGCATGTCCCCACAAAGACAAAGCATCAAACGCCAAAGCACTGCATAGGTCAGACCGTCCTCAGTTCAGGGAGTTGACGACCATTTTTTATGCCCGTCCAAACTTCCACCAAGCCTTGAAATCTGTCCCTTGTCACCACCCACTATATCTGTAAAGCTGCCACTCCTCCACCCTTCATATCTCGGTGCTTTTGACGATGTGCATTTCAGCACAGCACCTTCACTCAGCACCTTCGTGCGAAGATGCGCGCGAAGCCCCCGCTCCACCTTCCCGCCGAACATGATCAAGTGGGTGTGATTGGCGACGAGAACATGCCCACGCCTAAGCGTCACAGTTTTGGCCGGCTGATGGCTTTGGGTTGAGATCCAGCATCTTGGTGTGCAGGGCTTTACCATGTCCGAAGCGTGGATTCTATGTTGGAATGACGTTGTGGAACAAACAGGAAGGGCTTGTAAGCAACAAGTAGAGGCCTTTGGAACAAAAGAGCACCACGTGTTTCATGCCCATGAGGAGGCAAGGTAGACATCGAATGGCATCCATGGACATCTGTTCTTGGTCATCTTGGGGATCCATGCCATACTCTGAGTCAACACCTAGTATACGAACCACGTCTGGTTGCTTTTTTCGCTCAATTCTTCACGGGTCCCAGCCTGCGCACAGGGGTATTCTCAGTGGGCACCCGGCGCCAACGGCCCTTCTCCGGGCTGAAGACCTTGAGAAGCGAGGGTTTGGTTCGGTCTCAAATGATCTACCTTCCAAATGGCAGCGGTCGGACACACCTTCGCAGGGCTCCGTACCCGAACCAAACCCTATGTATGGATTCGGGCCCGGATTCTTAGGAGGTGCTTCTCAGCTGTGAGGGTCTTCCTTCGTTCATGGAGGCCTCTCATGGGCTGGTTGCACCTGTAGGCCACTCTTGCCCCAGTTTGTGGGTCTGTAAATGTCTTTAACCTCGACTCTAGAAGTCCAGTTCGACTATACTTTGACCGACTGAAGTAAAGGAAACTCTTGAACTCGGGTCATTTAGGTGACCATTCTTTATTCGTCTTTGACTCCCAGGGTCTATATAATCACCTGTTCTTCTTCCAACCCCAGCTCTTCGGGTGCTCCAGCTGTACTGGTGCGACGGTGCGCCGAAGCAGATGCTGCGACCCAGCCAGCCACTGTGGGGGCGCCATTGAAGATCCATATTGAAGTTTATTGAAGTTGGAACTTCTTGGATTTCTCCAGAACATATGACTTTCGAAAGGGATGCTCCGATGGAGGCCTGGGGCCTCCCCTTCCTCGGGCGCAATCTCTGAAATCAATGCTTGGTTCAGGCCTGTTCGTTTCTGAGGAGCCAACCCACAGGTCATCCCTAGGCACAACGTGCGAGACGTGAGAGTGACAACGAGGATTCAGGAGAAGTCCGGAGACGCGATGGAACACGTCAGCAACCTGGCCTTTTGGAGACCAAAAGCCAATACAAAGATTGCAAAGTACTTAATGTTGGAGCCTGATTAGTAAAGGGCCCCCCCCCATTTACTAATCAGGATCGCACATTAGTTGGGAAACCACTCAAACGACTACCCCAAACGCTCCGTCGTTGACGCCCGATCAGAACCCCCTCGACCCCTCCAGATTCAGGTCCGAAGGGTTCGCGTCTGGGCTGAAAAGGGACACCTTGCACCTGCCATGAACGAAGAACACATTCTTGCCCTTGCCTTCCCATTCCCTAGCTGTACAGTGGTTGCACAGTTCTGATATTTTCTACTCAAACGCCCGCAACGCAGCAGGTTTGCCCAACCAAATCTTGCACATTTCAGCCCGACGAAGTGGAAGTGAACCAGTTGCCGTAGCAATTCCAAGAGCGTGGGTTGCACATCCCCTTTAGAAGCCAAGCACTCAAATCGCCGGCGCCGGCGTTTTGAAAGCGCCTTCATACTCACTGCGTCAAACAGCTTCCGTCTCCCAGTGGTCTACCACCCGTCCGTGACCCGTCCTCGAAAACTTCACGGAGGTCTTCGTGCAGCCACCCATCAGCACCAGCTGGCCTCGCGACGAGTCCGCGGGAGCCGCAGGCGAAGGGCGGGAATCGGGGAAGGTTGGGGCACCGTCCGTTGGGCACGTCCGTTGGAACATGTTGGAACATCATAGGCACATAGGGCACAATGCCAGGTGCACTCCCGGGACCCATGGAAGTGGAGTGATTTCAGCAGCTGTCTGGTGAGACCGCATTGAACATGGTCATCCAGTTTTGTGGGGCCGTTTGCCATCCACGTTGGCCTCACATGTCGGTCGTTGTGAAAGGGACGACAAACGGTTTCATCCGAAGGGGCATGTGGCTTCGAAGAAAACCTGATTGACCTCAGCTCATGGGGGTTGACATCTATCTTGCAGGAGTGGACCGGGATGTATGCTAATATATCCATGCACCGGATTATTTAGCGTTATTTATTTAGTTGGTGTTCTGCTATTCCTGAAGCTTTACACATCAAATACATAAATTCGATCACAAGATTGTCTAGATCGCAACAAATCCTGCAGAATGACACCTGACCGCAAAGCTTTGTTTCAAGGAAGGTCACGCTTCCAACTTGCCCTCTGCACTTCCATGTTTGCATTTGCCCAAGATCTTTCTTGTCTGTTGGAGGCCATCGCTAGTCCATCCCTAGTAGGTTGGAGAACCTATAAACAAAGGATGTGTCCCGCCAACCGAACCAGCTGTTACGGGCTCCAGGCTGTTATTGTAGACAGGAGTGGCGCCCTCCTTCCTTGGAGGCGTGTCCAAATCGGAAGTCCAAAGACACCAAATGTTCAAACCAAGAAACCTCAAACCTGCAGGTTTTTGCAGTCACCTGGGATATACGATCCAGTAGTGGACTTCTATTTGCTGGACGTGAGAGGCTAGCTCAACTCCGCGACTGGCCACCCCGCCTATGCGTACTTAAGTCACCATCACAACCCACCCTTACAAATGAGATCTCTTCATGAGATTAGCCATATTTAGCCATAAGACGGCTGTGCTTTCTTTTGAAATGGTTAATTTTCTTTAATTGAGGGCTACCACTGTGACATCCAGTCTTCTGCAATACAAACAGCTGTCTCTGGCCATGGGTCCAGCCACGCAGGATGAGCAATGACTGCTTGACAAAGAGATTTTGGAACATTGAGCATTCCTGTGCATTTCTAGCAATTTCCAACATTTGATTGAAGGACCTCGGACCTAATGGACTAAAGGTGAATAGTGGAGCAGGTGCTTTGAGGCTTCTTGAGCAGGTGCCAGCCACATTGGTGGACTGCTTGGTTGTTCGGCTCCTTTCGCTGGCACTCCTCCGTTGCCGATGGTCAGCCTCCAACGGCTGGTCAGCCACTGGCCATCACAGAGTCTGACTTGGTCAGCCTCCAAAAAGTTCGACAGGAACAGGAGGGTTGCAGGATAGGTGTTTCTTGGCTCAGCAGGGAAGTCTGGGTCTCTTGTGGTGTAACTGAGATCCCTCACAGTCCAGTCATGACTACTAGGCGGGGTAGTTGAAGGGACGGAAGTTCAGGGAATCATGGGAAAATCATTGAAAGATTGGAACTACTAGGAGCAATGTTCGCTACGAACGGGGCGCTCCTGGCATTACTACGTCATAGGAACCAGGAAGGCTACGAACGTACCGTCGTGCATCGCTGCTCCGCTCCTGGCACCCTTTTGGATCGACCACCGGGCGCCCACCCCTTTGGATCGCGTCCTGTGCCCCCCCCACCAGCGACCCTCAGGTCCCTCCTCACCGTAATCGATGGGAAACCTCGGGGAAGAGCGGCATTTTCGGGGCCGGAGGGGGAGAACGGAGGTGCAGATGCTCCTGGCATCGCGACAAAAAGGAACAAGACAGCTCCCTGACACCTTGGGAGTGGACGTTGGAGTGAGTTCACCACGGTCGCCTGTTCGACCGGATGGATTTTTGGTCCATGCCGTTTGCCATCAACGTTGGCCCATAATTCTTTCAGGTATTGGGATTGGGTGAGGAAACGAGTAAAGAGTTGAGACGTGGGTGGAATTCTTGCGATTGGCGAGAAAGAGAGGCCACACCCCAGCGATTTCCCATGACATCTTTATAGTCAACATGAGTCAACCATCCTTGGCTTTTGACCCGAACAATTTCAAAAGCTACCCTCGGCCACCGCTCTCCTCAGTGGACAACTGTGACCAGGTCCCTTAGTGCACCAAACATGACCCTGAAACTCAAGCACAGGACTTCAAGAAGCACATGCCCCAAAGAGGTTGGCGTTCTGTTGAGAAACATGGAAGGAACATGTCCGTTTTGGTCCGCTTTGGGGGGGCAGCGGACTGGGCAGCGGCTGTTGCTCTTCCAATCGGTGCCGGGATCGAGGGCGTGCGGCATCGTTCGCTCAAGCCGACTAGGCTCACGGTCGAGTTGCCACCATAATATATCAGCTGGCTGGCAGTTTCAAGTGCCCAAATCCATTTAAATGCACACATTCACCAGATTGAATCCACTTCTCTTCCCTGACAACTCTGATTTTCTGAGGACAACTACCATCATTCCTCAGCTGAATCGGTTCCTTTCTCCCCCCTCCAGAAACCGATTCCGTGCCGCATGGCCAAGTCTTGGTCTCGAGATGAAAGCGCCACATGTCTGAGAGCATGGTGACCTCAGCTGCACCAAAACACTCTTTGCATTCCTTGATCAACGGGTCGTGCGTGGTTTCCTTGTGATCAACCACGGAGCCAAAACATGAAGAACGAAACGACGCCATGGGAGTCTTTGTTGCGGACAATTCATCGCTATTAGGTTGGAGGCCAACGAGCCGCCGTAGGAGTTTTTGTCTTTTTTTCGCAGAGTGGCCGAGATCGGCGCCCAACTCGACCACCTGTGTCTCGGATTCCAGCGCCCCTTTTGTTCCTTTGCTACACGCCCGTGTCTCAGCTCTATGCCTTTACTCTGGGCACAAGAGGCTCTGCGCAGCATTGTTGGGTCAAAGGCATTTCCAAGCAAAGAACAGCTACTCCGAGATGCACCACATGCTTGACAATGGAAACAACCGCTAGCCACCTTCGGCTACCTTGGGGCCGTTTCCGGTGCCGCGCTTGGAGAATTCTCTTCTCGGGCCGAGCCATCAGCTTTGGGTAGGCTTGGGTATGTGTGGAGTGGTCTTGGCCTGCCATTCAGGCAATTATTGGCACCAGAAGCAAGTTCTTCTCAACCTTGCCGTTGTGATGGTTCATATCATGGCAAACAACCCCAGCTGCCTCAACCAAGCCAACCAACCCTCCACTGTCTTCAACTCCCACAACTCGCTCCGGCGGAGCTTCAGCTCCGCCGCTCCCTCAACGGCCCGGTCGGTCAGCTTCCGATCCACGTGCCGCTGGGCTCCGGGATCTTCGCCGCCTCCGGCGCACGGAGGATCACGGCGTCGCGGCCCTCGGCCGCCGCGAACTTCGCCTCCACCTCGGCCTCAGACGCGCGAACTTCGCGATCGAAACACATCCCGATCGCGAGGTGGCGAGGTGTAGAGGTGAATGTAGAGGAAGACGGAGATTGATCAAGGGGCCAGAAGAGGGGTGCATGAGCAGTGTTTTTTGACAGTTCTTGGGACGTGATGTTGAGGAGACTTTGGAGGGATAAAGCTTCACTTGGCCAAGGCTTGATTCTTCGAACCTCACTGCAAGAACATCTACGCCACAGGTGACGGAGGCAGTGACAAGGACCAGGAATGATGGCGATGACAGTGATGGACCGCGATGTGAAATACGATGAAGACATATTAGTCACGAGTGGACGAGAGTGAGAGTGAGTCGGAGGTGGAGTGAGTGCGCGGACGGTGGAGGACGCTCCAGGACGGTGGAGGTGACACGCGGGAGGACTAGACGGGCAGGATGCAAACAAAAGTAGTATGAACCTGACACAAAAATGTGGGGAACTAGTGACCTGCAGGTTGAAGACCAGTGTATCAGATTTGCCAGTAGCTCAATCTCGAAAACACACAACCCCCCCCAGGTTGACCCGGGCGAACGCGGCGAACGCGGCAGAACGCAGAGGCACCAGGGCATTGGTCATGGCCCGTTTGATCTTCGCCCTGGCATGTCACCAGGGGAGTGCAGGGGACCAAAAGCAGTGTGTTCAAATAGGGAGACCTCCCAGGCATTCCGACCCCCTGGAGGGTTCGGAAAATAGACCACAACCCATTGATGGGTACACACCCACATATAAACTGTATAGACATGGTTACGTGGATGGCAGGGGATGTCGGATGACTGTGTGACATCCGTTTTTTCAAACAGGCGGCGAACTCACTCCACTTCCCTGATTGTTCCAGGGAGTCCCAAATAAATTACTTAAGTTTTATATAGAGATTGAGACAATTAGATTACTTGCATACAATACACATCAAACATTTATAACAGTATAACATCAAGTATACGTAGTCTACTACTACTCCCCCGCAGATTAACATGGAACCCCAAAACCACTGGGTTGGTATTCGGAAAATGGTCGACCACCGGTCAATTCTCAGGTTCCATGTATAGTATAACATAGTACAACACAATATACACATGAAAACATCACATCAAATACGGGGTCAATACGGAGTCTAACTGTCTTATTTCCAAGGTTCATTCTTTTGACCAAACACGAGTCTCTAAGGGTTGAGAAATGGGCCGCCCGAACCCGGTCCTCAACACACAGGTCCTACCTCGGGGGTCCTGCCCACCTCGTCTGGACGGAGCCCATCCAACATAAGCAGGTGACACGGGGAGACTTCGCTTGTCCAGACGCGCGGATTCCGAACTGCCAAAACCCTCCAAGAACTGTCAAAGGTGTTGGTTGGACCCAGCAAGAAGAGGCATTGGTTGGACCCGCCCCCCAAAACGAATCTGCGAAACATCAAGCGCTTGATTGCAAATGGGCATCTTCCCCATTCACAAGAACTGCGAAACCTGGTCAATCCAAGTCCGGGCAAGTCCCTCATCGCATCTTCCCATGTCTTCCTGTGTCTTCCTCATCTCATGGGAGCGGAGCGCCTCCCATCCTCATCACACTTGGTCTTCCTCAATCGCGCCATGACCTGCCATCCCAGCGGTCCCAACACACGTCCATTCCGAGGCGGAGCGGAGGACTCCCCGGATCCACTTGGGCTCCGGTTCGATCAATCCTACTCTCTACGAATAAAGGGGTGGTAAGGATGCTAGCAAGGTATCTTCACAACAACAAGCCTGCATCCTGACACCTAACAACCCTAAGCCTCACGGTATGCATCTGTCTCTTAACTGGACATGTGTTTTGGGTCAAAAGAGACGAACACAAGACCTTGCAATCAAACTTGCACACTTGAGTCACCTCAGCTCAAAACCTCACCCAGGAACTGAGCAGGAGCTTATGAGTCTATGACGGATGCTGTGTCGGCACAATTTGTGTGAAAATAGAACATATGACGTGCCACACGATGGCTGAAACACAGCTTGCCACAAAAAAGGGCAATGCACTTGACCCACAATACAACATGACAAAGTAGAACATGGATTGAATAAACAAGAATTCCAGAACAAACAACCTCCTACCCAATATGCAGAGAAGAAGGAAACGAAGAGGGAGAAGAAGAATGACCAAAATACACATAAGAATTACGAGGAGAATGCAAAGGAGAAAGAAAAAGCAAGCATCATGGAACCAGAATAGGACTTTTGGAACATTATTTTTGGTCTTCCCTTGACAGAGATGAAGAGTTCCCCCAACAAATGCCTGTTGATAGTGGCTGTTCTGTGGCATGTTGCAGGGTGTCTACGGTGTCTAGTTACTTCATTTGACTGTTAAATACTCTGATGCCTACCAGTCATTTTGAACGTGATTTTTAGTACCTTTTCCCAACAACATCGTGTGCAGGGTCGTGTGTGGTCACACCTCTGGTCCGCACCCTTCAGCACCGGTCGACCGAGCGAACGCCGGTGCCTTCCGGAACTTCTCGTCACCTTCGAGTCGCAGGCTGAAGCGTTTCTGGACTGAATAGATGTCCACATGGTCATCACATGATCACATGGTGCGAAGGACGCTACTGTATTAGGTGGAGGCCATTGCAAGTAGGTTAGGCCATCGCTACTGGAACAAGACGCTACTAGAGAAATAGGAAGGATGGTTTTTTAGCAACCAGACTCATTGGCTGCGGCCTAGGGGCTCCAGTTTTCACTGCGAGAACCGAAGTAGTTTCATTCTACACAAGTCCACCAGGAAGACCCACAACCCATGGCATCTCTTTGGCAGGCAAACTCATTCCAGCTAAGCTCGAGTCTAAAAAACCAACAATCCTCCCATGTTGCTTCGTTGCCCTTCTTTCTTTCGGCTGCTTATTAGACCTTCAACCCTACGTCTTGGCCCCGCGCGCGAGTAGGTCTTCAGGAGCTCTGGGGAGAGCCCCGTGGTTTGGCAGGTCCCACAAGGCTTGTAGCCCGTGGCCTCGAGAATCCACCGGTGGGCGGATCGGATCGGCGTTCGAACCACACGCCTGTGGGACGGGTGTCGGCTAGCTCTGTCTTCGAATGACCGGCTCAGGACTGCCGATCAGGCCAGGGGTGGTGCCAGGGGGGTCAATTGATCGGCATATATGGCAGTCCCATGGAGTATCTGGGATAAAACCATATAGAAAACCTGATAAAACCACTCAAAGCAGCCTAGCTGTTGGTCCAACCAGAACCACAAGAGTTCCTTCATACATTCCTATACTTCCTCAACTGAAGAACTGATCCATCTTTTGAGGAGCAAACTAACACGTCTGCCACCAATTTCATCGTTTCCCACCGGCAACAGGCCACTTCAACCCTCCAAGTCGGCCCACGTCTCCACGTTCCCAGTCCTCACACTCGCTACAGTCCCGGAACCGCGTGGGGTCCTCAATCCTCGGAACATCTGCGATCCGAAGAAGGGCCGTTCCGTCCGGCGCGGAAGCGGCGCGTCCGGCGCGTCTGGGCCCTTCGTGTTTTGTTGGGGTTTTGTGCTGGTCGGGAGGTCCTGAATGCTCTTTCGTCGACTCTGAGTCGACGGAGGTTTGGATTTTTTCGGCGCCACGGGCAGCGCGAAAGCGACCGCTGGACCGTTTCGGTGTGAACCTATTCTTTTGAAAGGCCTCCTCACAACACCGCGGGCAAGCAACTCACTGAGGTTTTCAGAAGCAGGTGTTAACATGTGTTTACTGTCTGGACCTGTCTTGGAGGACACTTAAACGCACAGCCAAGGAACTCGGTCATCTTCTTGCTGCCGCCACACCTGGAGCATGCGCAGCACGTCAAGCGCAGGTGTCCACTGGAGCATGTGCTTTCAATTGGATCCATTTTGGAACACCCCCAACCAAGGACACGATCTCAAGTAGACATATTATGATTCTTATATATATATATATATATCATCAAAGTATATTGCACACACTTCTTACAGCTAACTGAACAAATAGCCTCCCCAAGTCATACTGGAAAAAAAACACCACGGTCAAATTATAGAAAACACCCTTAGCTTAGCAACAGCGTGTCCGGGTGCACAACCATCTGCGACTGTAGCATATTTTTCAAATCAGCAAAGCATGAAAAAACAGTGGTGTCAAACCAAGTCAAGCCACAAAAAAATGGTAACACCATCTACCACAAAAGCACTTGTTTCCAGTGGAGC